TGGTTCTATCAGTACCCTCCACCTAAAAACGACCCTTCCCAGCGCCCTGACAGATGAATGGATTTCTTGAAGAGCTGCTATAGAATATCCAATAATTTTGTAAGTCCCTTTTGCTTGTCCTTCCTTTATTCCTTACTAACAGCCCAGCCAGTCATTCACAAGCCACAATGCTTGGGGCAGTCACCTTCTGAATGTTGCGTGTTATGCGTGTTGGGTAAACAGGGAGCATATCCCTAAACCCTAAACCCTATACCTTGTACAGGTATGCCCCATTCAGAGCCCATCTATGGTCACGCAGACAGGTTGGAATTCAGCGCGCAACGTGGAGGGCAGTGGATTCAGTGTTGAAGATGGAGCCTTGGAGAGCAGCAAGTCAACGATCTGCTTTGTCAAGAACGTGGCGTCTGCCAAGTGTGAGGCAAAACTAACCTTAAATTTCAACCAGTACGCGAGAAGGACATTGGTGCTGGTCACATTGAGAGGGTCCCTTGTAATCTTGTACTCCGTACATATCCTGTGGATGCCGAGCATGCCTTTGTTTCTGAGAGACTGCCGGAGAAAAAGAGGTGGGGAAACGAGGCATGCATTCAAACATGTTTTACATGAGCACGGTTTCGGGTTTAGAGTTAAGACCTCACGGATGTCAATAATACAAACTAAATGAGGATCTAGCAAGCCTTCACCTGATACACATCTCGTAGGCTACCTTGATCAACATGGCTACTTGAATCGAATCGTATCCCAAAACCACCCATCCCACTTCAAGAACTGCTGAGACAGTCCCTTTCAAGGAGGGCCGCCTAATTATGAAGGTGAACTTACGTGTGGCGACGCGAGGGATTCTTTAAAAGCGCCCCGTTTTGAGGCCTTCGTGATAGCAATCACAACGTGTTGAGCTCTATATCTTCCTCCAATGTATGAAGCAACTACAGGTCCTGATTTCACGTCATGGAACCGGATTCAAGACTTTCAGAACCACCCCCCCAATTCTGCATGCATACTCCATATTCCAAACTTTATCACTGGGCGGCCCCGGCTCCCGCCACAAGCCCCAAATCCCAGCAAGTTGGGTACTGCCCCTACTCTGTAACAGTTGGATAGTATCGATACATATATATATACATATATACTATGACTATGAATAGCGTTAAATAACATCCCTTATTAGACGACAATATCTTTGCTATGATATTATACATGGCCCTTGATATATAGACTGGTACAGGGTGGGGGCAGTACCCAACCCCTAAACCCTAAACCCTAAACCCTAAAACCCTAAACCCTAAACCTTAAACCCTAAACCCTAAAACCCTAAACCAAGAAGTAAGGAGGAAGAAGTGGGACATGAGCAAAAGGCGGCTTATGCCACTGAGTACAAGACGCAGGTGAGGAGTTCTCTTGAGAATTTAGGGTTTAGGGTTTAGGGTTTAGGGTTAGGTGTAAAAAAGGATGAAATGTAGACCCTCCTTGTACCTTTGAATAGGGGTATATGGTCCCTTATAGTGGGCCTTCAGGGTATGTAGAGGGTAGAAGGAGGGTCTAAGAATGTAAACCAGTGATTCCTAAACTCGCTCCCCTTAATAGAGATTATAACAGGGATCCGAATATTAAAGCCCTTAAAAGGAGGGGGATTTCTCACGAGTCTACATTAGGCCCGCCTTTGTCGTGGGTGCGTCGGACGACAGAGAGCACCAGCCGCAATGCCTAAGAATATCCTAGCGGTTCTGAAAAAATCATGCGCACCCTGTTACCTTTGTAGGAATAGTAAATTCACCTGATTGTGATCCGACATTCTTTATTAATACAATCTTCGTATAGGATACTTCAAAAAGATACCAACATGGTATTGGTAATTACCTAGGCCCCTCCTATTATTTAAAGGAAGGAACTCCCAATGCCAGCCGAGGCCTGGGGCATCTAAGCCTACCGGCCGAAGTACCTAGAGTAACTAGCGGTTTAGGCTTTGGGGTTTAGGGTTTAGGATTAGGGGAATGAGGGATACATAGGAAGTTTTAAGGGGCCTGACTAAGGAGGGTTTAGGGTCTACCTACAAAAATTCATGTACCCAATAAAAAGGTTTGGTGCGTTGCTCTAAGTAGAAGCCAGCCTAAATTCAGACCTTGGAGCCTCAACATCTTAATTTCCCATATTGTTTCCTACTGGGAAACAAAATTTGGTGCCTTTGAAGTACCACCCAGCTCTGAAAAAAAACAAAGTGTGTAGCATCGAGGGAGGGCGTAGGCCCATGTGCTCTGGCGACGAATCCAGTCCGCCTTAGAGCTTATAACAACCCTGAATCATGGATATTCCCCCTGAGACATAACGGCAGCTTATTTGGGGTGTTTGAGTAAGCGCGTATATACCTCTATATGCCATTTTCTACGCCCCTATGTGTCCCTACATATCCCTTTCGAAAGGAGTGGATTATGCTGTGCCAGGCCATGTTCCTGGGAGTGCGAACTTGCGCACCCTGGCCTCGACAGCATCCGTCAGGTTTACGGTTTGGGAGTCTAGGATTTAGGGTTTACGGGCTTTGAGTTTAGGTTTTGGGGTTTTGGGGTTTTGGGGTTTAGGGTCTATAGGGCTTATAATGAGGTTTGTAGGGTGTGTTGGGGTCAATAGGGTGTGTGGGGTTTATAGGATTTACAATGGGGCTTACAGCAGGGTCTAGCGATCCGGGAAGGATCAGACATACATAGGTTTCATGCAACAATAGATACCCAGGATGACATGATCCGAGTGTGCTGATCCCCCAAGAGGGACCAATGATTTTTCAGAACTCCCATCTGCAAGAGTGGTAAAGTGGGTAGTGCGCTTCTTGGAGAGGCCTCAAGGAGTTGTATTCAGAGTCTTGGTTGAAAGGCCGCTGGCTTTTTCTGATGTCTTTAGTATAGGAACCCCTACGGGTCCAGGTGCCTAAATGGCAAATAATGAGGGTCCAAGACAGATATTTGAATCCAGTTCGGCCCAATCTACATCCTGTTCAGGTACGTGTAGGGGAAAGCGTGAGATTTGAGCGGCAAATTGTTTGGGAGCTGCTGTAGAGTTTCTTTCTTGAGCGTTACACTAGGAATGTTTGGGATACGCATTTGAGTAAACCATTTGTCTGCTGAAGTTTGTGCAAGTGATTTCCATTGGCTTGTCCTTGGATATAGCGCTTGAATACCCCTTTTAAAGGTCACCCACGTCAGATTATGAATCCTATTAGGCCTTATTGCGTCCTTATTGGCTCCTTAAACCCTGGAGGGTGTATTTTTTTGGGGGGACTATTGGAACCCTAAGTTTACGGGGTGGACCCGCTTTGAACATTTACAATTTGCTTGCAGTGGGTGCTTCACTTACAACTTACCATCGGGTAATCTGAGGCCATGTGGGACTATCGGAGGATTCTGTGGGGCCCTTATTAAATGGAAAACAGAAGGTTTTACAGGGATTCGGGATCCGGAATGCAGGTTCTGAAGCACAATGGCACCGTGCAGGAAATCCAAGTGACATGGATGACGTGCAATACAAAAGGTTCCTATTGAGTGATGCCAGTTGGCTATATGAAGTTGCGACGAACGTCTTCGCAAATGATACCCCGACAAACCGGCGATTGTAGTTTGTCATCCCTGACGAGACCCTTTTCCTAAGGCTTTCCAAGGTCTGCTGGCTTCAGAGGATGAAGCATTGCATATGAAGAGCCCAAACCGCCTGTGCTGAACCCCCCCCCAAAAAAATATGCATAGAGTCAGGCCCTCACAAGCTAGCAGTGGTATAATCGCAATGTATAGGGGCCCTGTTAGAACTACCATTGTCTCTGGTGGTCACCAATAGTACGTGGGAGCCTAACCCAGATTATGAGGTAGCTTCCCTGACAAATTGCCCGTTTGTGGAAACTGCCCCTGACTCGCACATTCACAATTGCAACGTTGCCTCGAAGTCTGAGCGTTATAGCTGACATGTACTAAGTCGCATTCCTACCCCGCAGGCCCTGCTCGCATGATTTCTTCTTTAGAACCTGCAATAGTTCAGGAGGAAGTCCTGCACATGCTAGAGAAGGACCTCCTCCCCAACGTGGCAGACCCGGAGACAAGGGTCTTTTACCTCAAGATGAGAGCGGAAGCTGTGGCTGAACTGTCAGTTGGGGATTTAGCTACGGAGTGCACTTGGAGCGCCATGTGTACTTAGCAACAGGGTGACTAAGCGAATGACTGCGTTTTGAGTGATTGCAACCCATTTTGGCTATTCCCACCAATGTTCAGGTAGGGCCGAGGTGTGTATTGGGAAACTATTGGGAAGTACCCATGCCATCCTCTCCGTGTGGTTTCTAGCGGAAAGGAGAACTGCAATCATTCCGAATTTTCTTGAAACTAGGGCTTTCCAGGGGTGATGCTTATTTTCTGCATAAAGTCAGCTGCCAGGGTTCCTAAGGGTGCCCCTCTTCGGTGACAAACTGGCAGTCAAAAGCCAGAGAGTATTTTCGGTGACATGTTAACGAGTATTAAGGAGTTTAGACTGTAGCTCACATGAGCTATAGTCTAACTCCCAGTATCCCCCTTAATAAGGCCTATAGTAGTCCCCTATATAATCCCCTTTAAGGAGTTTAGACTATAGCCCCTGAACCCTAAACCCTAAGACTATAGCTCACATCATTCCCCCAAGCCCATAGGTTGAGAATCCTATTGGGGCATAGTTATGCGGGAAGCTTAGGGCTCTCCAGAGAGGCGCCCTTTCAATAACTGCTGCTAGGGTTTGGGGGTTTAGGGTTTAGGGTCCCCTCAGAGAACCCAAATTGTAATCCTCGTATGTCCACTTGAGAAGCGCAAACTCGTGGCTAACTTGCAACTACTCGCTGCGAAAACCTTGGTGCCTGTGCTGTGGCCCAGTATGTATGGAAACCCCCAAGTCCATGGGTTTGCTTCAACAACAGCCCTGCCCAGGACTATTACCGCTACATTGCGGAGTTTCATCCGGATACTCGTCTTTTCTAAGATTGTTCTACGGTTTCTTGCCCTTTCGAGGGGGAGGGGGGGGGGGGTCGAGAATTAGGGGCCCCTGCTTTGCAGGATTCTGTTGTAGAAGGCTTTTTGTTACGCTCGACTATTTACGGAACTTGACATACGAGCTATAGTCTACATTCCTAGTATCCCCCTTAATAACCCCTATAGTATTCCGCTATATTACCCCTATAAAACCCCCGTTCAGAAGTCTAGACTTTTGCTCATAGACTAAAGATCTGGATGATAATGTGCCATCCAGACGCGAGTAGGTAAGAGCCTTCTGTACAACATTTGGCCTGCCGCCACAGGCGAGCCAGAGTCTACACTCCGTAAAAGAGGTTTATATGGGGGAGTACTATTCAGGGGTTCTTAAGGGGGATGCTATATCTCTGGCATTATGAGGGAATCGGCATGCAGGAAAGATTGTTCTTTCAGCTGTTTTGCTGACCATGCCCTAGGTATCATGTGAAGCCGTGTTCTGCTTCTTGAGGTGCTGTTTGAAGGGCAGGTGGTCTAAGACACCTAGCAACTTTGGAAACTACATGCCCGCAACCCTAACCAGAAACCTTCGTATAGCAAAGTTGTGATCGTAACCTGGACATCCTACATGAGCATGGCAAAGTCTATCCCCAAGCGCACCTGAGAGTTTTATCCCAGTCCACAACTTCCAAGAATGAGTGGCCAGACCCCAAACCCTAAACCCGACTTTCAGAACCCTTGGTAACACACTCGTAACCCAATAGTAATCATCAATAAGCCCATAGGAAGCCCAACCCTGTGCCTTCCAGGAGAGAGACGACTGCGCTGAAAAAGCGCGCTGGACTTCTCAGGAGGCTTCTGCAGCGTGCCAGGACCTTATTTGTCATGGTCATCGTTACTACTATTTGTATAATGCTATGATTGGCATTATGAGTGGTGATATGATTATAGTAGTATGACCATAGGTAAGATCATTATAGGTTCAGGTCTCGGGGCACGATGTCAATGTATAGATTTAGGAAAATTCCAGACTTGTTCTGCGTACATGGACGCGTAACTAGTCTGTTACCCCGTCAATGCCCTGTTCTAATTATGTACTACGCTATGGTGTTCATGGTTTAGGCCTGAGGGTCCAACTACCTAAACAGTAGATAACTTTGGCTCAAATCGGTTCCTGTATAGGTACTTTGGGCCCTGATTTCATACTATTTAGGTATTTTGATTTTTCGGGTAGCGTTTAGGGTGCCCCTATATTTAGGTCCGAGGTCTCCCAGCTTCAGAGACGGGTAGCTTAAGAAAGCTCGTTTGGAAACATGTCCCGAAATCAATGCGCCTCTATATATAGGTGGGCACATAGACCCTAAACCGTATTATTTGGAGGCAAAAAGATGGTCCTAATTCTGGGACCTGTGCGCGGAACAATGTTTGGATTTTCGACACTAAGGACGATGTCAGGTGCATTTTTTCGGGGAAACTGTTTTCAGAGTAGTTGAAGCTTATTGCCCCACGAATTGCAAAGCTCGTGCACATGTTGTGCGAACTCAACCTGACATGGCCATAGATATAATCCCTAAGGGTCCAAGCACCAAAATGTTAGGGCTTTAGGTCCCACATACCATTCAGATTATAGTAATTGGACCCAAAAGCCCCATTATTTGGGTCCTTGGACCTTTAGAGAATGGAAGGGAAGACAGTGAGCCAAAAGTGAATTACATTCTGCGCCTGCAGCAGGAGTGTCTTCCGGCAACGCACCCGACCCGTCTGGGTATGGCAGTCAGTCAGGCGGTGTTCCACTACGAAATTTTGGGACAAACCTCTGCCGCTGTTCAGCTGCTAAGGTGATCAGACAGCATTTCCTTTGTGGAGGTCTTTTTATCATCCTGCTGAAGCAGAAGTCTATACCATGAGATTTTTGTTCCAAGGGTTCTATGGCCAGTAAGGATGGCCAAGCAGGCGTTTGATGATGCACTTGCGGAGCTCGACGGCGTCCCTGAAGAGCACTACAAGGATGTGGTTCTCATCATGTCACTTCTGCGAGACAACCTCGCACTATGGACAACTGACATGCAATCATGATGTGAAGAATTCCGTTGTTGCCCCGGCAACACTAGCCTCGCCACTCCCTGGTTGTTAGTAGGGAGCCGAGGACGTGGGTCCGTGTAGTGCAACCTATAGTTCAGTATCCTGAACAGCGCGTACAGTATTCTTATTTAAGATCCACAGTAGCAATCCCCTTCCAAAAGATCCGCTCCTGACGTTCTCTACTAAGCACTATGGAAGCCCTTTCCTCACAGTGCAGGTCTAGCTTGGCAGGGGGCAGTTGTACAGCACCTCCCAGCCGACTTTCAAAGCTGTTTCCCAACCTGCACGATGTGTGATGTAGAAACTTGAATGCTTTCAGACATAGACATGGTGCTGGATGAAAGGTTTGGGGCTTGGGCCCGCCAGAACACTCAATTTCCACCCCGTCTGCATAGCTGCAGGTATCTTTAAGTATTCAAATTTCTACATCATGAAGTGAGCATCGGCCATCGGTTCTGGATGGCATGCTGGAGGGGACCAGTTTCTGCGCACTTTCCCGTTTAGATCCCGGGTCCAGGGCTGGAGTCTGAAGTCACCTTGTCAGCCACCGTAATTTAGGGAAAAAAGGCGGAAACCATTATATTATATGTTATCGGTTAGAATAGGAATAAATATGGGGTTATCGGAAGGAATTAGGGAATATGATGGCTAGCGCAGCCCGCCATGTTGTTTGTGATCTGTGTTTTTGTGTGCGTGAGGGGTCCTCAGAGCAGGAGTTCTTGGACCTTCAACATGACATAGACCAGCCCTAAGCGCTAGACAGCCCTAAGCCCTAGCAATTGAAGGATGATAAACTGAATCAACTTTGACATGTTTTTTGTATCATACTGGGAGGAATCCCTCCAGTCTCACTTTACAGCCACTGTTTCCCAGGTTCCGGAAGGATACCCCTACTCTGAGGAACCTTCCTATGGGGGCTTCTCACAGTCATGGGTGATAGAACTCCGCGTTGACGCGTAGGGGTCTCTTGTAAGGAGTCTATGTGCATTCTGCGGAGAAACTCCCAACCAATCCAAACCTAGACCTAGATGATGGCGCCCTCCAAGGTACTCAGCACACGGTCTAGGGCGGGCAGTAATCCACCCGCCTCTGAACAGTTTCTTGCGGTGCGCAGCGACTGGCCACTCCAAATGTCCGTAACACCTCCTAAACCTTACCCATGCTTCGTTGGGAATCCGGTCAGGAGTGAGGCAACGAATTATTACATAGTTGCTTTGTGCCTTCCAACAAAATTTCAAAAGTCCTGCGACGGTGCCTGTTAAGAATGCATCCTTTCATTCCCAACAAAGCGTGAGCAAGACACTGTGTCCAGGGCTTGGCGCCCGGAATGCAGCAGTGTAGGAGACGCCCGGATCCTGCGGAACCCGCTTGTAGCAAGGCCCTTATAGTTCTTAGGGGCCCAGAATTTGGGTTTTGCAATTTCCGTCCGTCCTATAAGATTCCCTTTTTTCCGCAGGTTCCAGGTAGAGTTTCGGGATTCATTGTTTAATTGGCTGACCCCGCAAAAGTCCATCACTAGCTCTGATACGTACACTGCATCAGAAGGGTTTCTTGAAGCCACGGTTGGGGTGCGGAACAGTATTAGCATGATTTCGGGGCACGCTGTACGCCGCAAAACTTATCCGTAGCAAGCACAGCCCTGCACCATAGAGCAAACTAAGTGGCACCCTAGGACGACTTATCATCTCCCCTCTTGTGGTGTAAGGAACCCTAGTTTAAAGTAACGTTGAGGGGCCTTCAGAATACCACCCAGAAAAGTTGAGGGATTGGAGATTGATTTGCTTGAGGCACCAGCCTGCTCTCGTCGGCTTTGAACGGCTGACACACGTCGTCCCTGGCATCCAAAAAAGATGTGATATCAGTCGCTATGACCCTCTGGCTTATGCTGAGCGCGCCAGATGCTGCAGTAGCTGCTGCCAGCAGCCAGAAGACCAGTTCTTGGTAGATGGACTCTTCTAGAGTCCTAGACCTCATACCAGTAGATTTCAGTCTTCTCGGATGCTAAGAGACGGGTGCATGTGGCCAAATTTTCTGGCTGGTGCCTCAGGCAGAGTGATAGTTTTTTGTTCTTTTCTGGTAGGGCGCATGTCCAACAGCAGCATGAGCGAGTTCATAGGGCTTGTGCCGAAATTGTGGTTCCTCTGAGAACTACAGCTAGAAAGGTTTCCAAAATTAAGGCGTCCTTTCAATCATTTTTTTGGGGGGTCTATATACTGCGGTCCCCTTGGCTATGGAGACTGCTAGTTGAAACGGGACGCCTTCCCTCGCTAGCGTTATCAGAGACGTCATTTTGCCTCAGACGCGTGGGAAAGGCTGCACAGGCCGCCTCTTGTTTCCTGTATTAATCCTGCCATAATAATATCATTATTGGTATTCTTATCAATGATATATATATATATGTATATATATCTTATAGCACCATAGCACCCCCCCCATACCTTATATTACGCATTCCGAACAGGAGGCCTTGTATACTGGGGTTCGTCATCAGGGCTGGGGGGGTGGCATTTTTAGTGCTAAGTGATTTTTTGGCACGGTCGTAAGCACAGGATGGCTTAGCTGCCAGAATAAAACTTCGGGAACCTAATCTTGGCACATTCCCACCAAGACGTCTCGAGTCTCGGGCAATGGCAGCGGAGACAAAAAGATTGATTCATTGGTTCAGATTCATTCATTTGCTTGCTTGTGGGAGGTGGGCGTGAGGTCTTGTAGAAGAAGCCTGGATTGCCTAGATTGTTCCCTCGTAATTCTTTCTCTATAGTCAAGTATGTAATGTGGCTCAATTCCGCTTTTCCATCTCTGTACGGGAACCACAAGGTGGAACCCAATAATGGTGCAACCCTTGTTATGGGAACCCTTGGATATTTGGGAACTCTTCGGTATGGGGGCTATAGGCATAGGGGGTCCCTCAGGAAAGGTGCGCTTTTTGCGAGGTCCTTACAGGAAGAGTTGCGAAAATGTTCAAGAAGAACAGGCATCCCCTACTTGAAGAAGTCCATCGCTAGAAGGCTCTCGGGTGTTTCGATGTGGGGTTCGAGGTTCCTAAATTTCGGTTATATCTGTGTAGCTATCACGGAGCTCCAAGTATGAAACAACACCATGGAGCGATGTAGGACACTGCCGGAGACGACGGTGGGGGTGCGGATGGTACAGACTCCACGGAAGTCCGCGCTCTTCTGACGAGCACCTACATCAGCACGTCTAGGGGTCTAGCTAAGGCTTTAGGGGTCAGGGCTTACCGGGACCCTTTAATGTCGCTTTGGTGTGGCTTTGAGGTGAGGATTTTCTTTGAGCCCTCCAGTTGGTACCACGTTGGGGGCAGTCTGCTTGAGGTCTTGAGGTCTCTGCTCCGTAGGGCACGAGGCCTTCGGCCTCCCAAAGCCCCTTTCCTCCCAAAGCTCGCGCAGGATCAAAGCAGAAGTTTTTACCACTCAGCATCCATACACAACCTAGCAGTAGACCCAGAGAGTCTGAATTCTGTAATGTCTATATATGGTGTCCAGGGTTTTAGACATAAACCCTTAACCATACGAAACAAAATGCAATCAAGGCGCCAAAGGGCACGATCCGGCAGCAGGGAAAAGGCAAGGCAAAATGGGATCTAGGGGATTTAGAGTTCAGGGGGTTGCGAGTGGTTGAGGAGAGAGAAGTCGAGTTGAGTGTCTGGAACGTCGGATTGCACATCCGAAGCATGAAAATCTAGTACTTTGACGGATCTAGGGTGACTGGACCTTTCTTAGATACCAGATGTTGAATTCTGTAAGAAGCTGGCAGTGACTCCGGCCAATATTTGGCAAGATTTCTGCAAGATGCATATGTCAAGAGCACTACCAAGCATCTAGTTATGGTATGGGGATAGTACACGTCTAGGAGGCCTGTATACATGTTGAGGCTGTCAGCGCCCGGAGCAGCACTTGTACAGGAGCTTTCTGAGGGGGACCCACTTGCGAGCTACCCACTTGAAACCTGCTTGGTTTTGACTTCATGCGAGGGACATACACTCATAATTTCGATTGACACTTTACACCTGATACCACAGATGAGGGGGGTCCCAGATTTCAGACTTCTTGTTTTGGGGGCTGCTATAACAAGGATTACTGTATAGATCCTATTGTTTGTGCGTATAGAGGGTGGACCCATCCACTCTGCAAATTTCTGCAGTGTGCCACACAGAAACGGCTTTCTCAGTGTGGCCGCAGGGAGCCCCTCCCTCCGCCAGCATGTTGAAGGGTGGCATAGGCCGTCACCACAATAGTGGATGGAACGCTTCAAGCATCCAACCCTCCCAACCCCCTGCAACGTAACCCCTACATCCCTGAACCTTTCGCCAGGAAAGTGGCTCCAGCTCCAAAGCTGCAGATGGTGCGACGCCAGCGGAGGCTGGGAGAATTGCCCTCGACAAAGCTATGTGTACCGTGCACTTAACCCTTTATATATATATATAAACTACTTCAAGCCTTTGGAAACCCAGACCCTAGAAACTCCCAAATCCTAAACTATAAGCCTAACATACAACCTACATCAAACCCTTGTAACCCTTGACCTTGACCCTAGAAGCCCCCAAAACCACAACCCTCATCCCCAAACTCTAAGCCCTATGAAACCCTAAGCCCCAAACCCTAAAACCACAGACCCTAACACCCTAAACCCTAAGCCTAGAACCCCAAACCCTTAATCCTAGACCCTACAACCCTAAAAAACCATTATAAACCATTAGAAAAACCCTACAACGCACTAAAAAATCGAACCCCTGTAAAACCTTTAACAACCCTTATAAAACCCCAATACCCGCTATAAAAGCCCTATAAAAATCTTTCTAAAAAACCCTTAACCCCTAATACAACCCTCAACCCCAGATGCGGGAGGCTTCTGGACCCGCGCACTGCGGCGGCGAGCCGAGCTGGCGGCCTCGGAGCTTCCACGTTGCAACGGCGGGTGGAGCAGCTGGTGGCTGCTGGGGTTTATTGGGGTTTGGCTTTAGGGTTTATAGGGTT